TATATATATATATGTACAGACGCATAGCAACATAATAATATAACATATGTTATAACTATAATTTATATACGGTATCATATACCTCCGTGTGTGTGTGTGTGTGTGGGTGGGATGGCGCTGCAAAGCGGCGCAAATACTTCTGGGATCTTCTGGGCAAATCCTGCGCCATCGTCGGTGCCAGTGCTCCCGACAGTGGCTCACATGTGTCGCATGTCTGCTTGGTGGTGCGGATCTGTTGCCTTCTTTTCCTGAAGGATTTTCAAAAAGGCAATCAAACTAACTGGGCCTTTCGAACCGACCCCTGTGCATCCCCAGCAATTACTGATCCCAGATTCCAGTCATGGTTGAATTTCATCATGTCCAGCTACAAAAGCCATCAAAAGCCACCTCATCCACCTCACACCGCCCAAGTTTTGAGATCGCCCCCGATGAACAGGAATGCGCATGGCGTTCCACTTTCCCCCGGAGGCAGCGCCTCCTGCTTTGAAGCGTTGGCTCAGCAGTTCCCATCCGGTCGGTTCACCCAGGTGCATCGCGCCACAGGCGGCGATATAGACCTTCTTCCTCGATGCGAAGGTGCGCAGGCAGCGCACGGAAGAAGTCGGTGTTCAGCCCAGCTTCGGGGACATCGAAACGCACCCGGGGTGGGGTGGAAGGCCGGGAAGCTTCTGCGCAAATAAAGGTTTCATATTGTTAGATCCCCTTTCCGTTTTCGCTTTCTTAACGGTGTGGTGGGTCAGGTATGTGCAAGTTTTCTGAGGTGGTGCAGCAGTTTCCGGCCAAATCAGCTGTCTTGCTCCGATGAGGCTACCACAAGTCAACTGAATAGGATTCACAAAATGTTTGTGGCAGGTGAACCCCCAGACTTCTGCCCATCGAACTCGCCTTCCTCCACCTAGGCCGCCGCACACCCGTTTCTGCAGGCGATACGCCAGGCAGGTCGCAGGTGCCGCGCCCCGGCTGTGGCCAAAGAGCACCAAAGGCCGGTTCTCGCCTGGAGCTCCGCTCGATCCAAGCAACTGATCCGGACGGAGTTCAATCAGGACGGTGTGGTGGACATGCGCAAGCCCCACATTGCTGGTTTGAGGTTGCTGGTGCAGTACGGGCATTGGTTGTGAGCACGCCACCTATGTAGAAAATACGCAAGACTCGTAATCTCACAAGTTAATTACTAAAAGCGAAGCGCATCGCATCTCCTAGTAGACTAATCTTCTATGTGCCCATGCATGTGTTCGAAACACTTGGACACCTTGGCAAACCCTAACAATCCCTAACTGATCCAAACGGACCATCAAAATACAGAATTCAACTATTCAACGCTTCAAACGATCGCCTGCAACCTGATTGACCTCTTCGACCAACAAGTCGATGTACTTGGCCCAAGGTTCTCGACCTTCCTCTGCAATCCTCGACGGGTGGAGTCTCTGAAGACGAGCAGGTGAACATCAAGAGGTGGGACCCCAGTTCTTTTGAACATCCTGGAGTGGGCTGACAGTGGGAAGCATATGTTGATATTTGATATGCAAGCATAACGTCTTTCAGGTTCAGAGCCAGTATAGAGCAAGAACCTCTCCGCCGCACTTTGGGGGCCGCGGCCCATAGGCATCCGGGAAGTGGAAGATGGCCGCATCCTGCGGCATCACAGCAAGTGAACACAAATAAGCATCTGGCAAACTGTAAGGACTATTGCACACAACATCCGAAAACTGCAACTTTGGGTTCACCACAGCTAGATTCTTTGCCCCGCCTGACAGGAGGGGAATGCGTATAAGGGAACGTGCAAGTCAAGCCGGTTATTTGAGTGGCCCACTCTCCACTTCCATGCGTTCGGGTGCTTTTACCGGTCAAAACGGGCAACTAACATGACTGCCAAGGGCGCCGTCATCAACGGTCCGGTCTGGCCGCTTTTTGCCTTTGCCTTTACGGATGCCATGATTGGGAACTGGCTTCCAGCAAGCATCTTGGGAAAACTGCGGTGTGTCCGAAAATTAACACCATATACCCCTTCCGAATGTCTCTTGGCATTGGTTCTTGTGGCTGTTTATTGACATCCTCCTCCACTGCCACACTCAGATGTTTTTTCCAACTCAAGCGTCCGTGGTGTCGCGCCTTCATGCCGGCCTCCTTGACGGCATCCAGCAAAGGCGCCAATCTCAGAGCCCCAAGCACTCCCCCCCGAAGCGAATCCCCAAGTCAAACCGCAGGGACGGCTCTGAAACGCACACAGGAGCATGTTTAAAACATATGCCACTCTACACCCATGTCCTTCGACCCCTCTTCCACCCAAATGTTTGGATCGCACTTCCCCCATCGTCCTCCCCACCTGCGTCGCACGGCTCCGCACGGCTCCGCACGGGCTCCCCGCAACTTCTCGCCGTCCTTGGGTGAGAAGCCGCCCGAATACCAGGCCTCGGGTGGACCAAGCTCCGCTCGTGCACGGCAGTCAGTCTGTGAGCCGAAAGAATATGCCGAAGGTATGGAATCATGTGCTGAGTTTTTGGAACATGTGGGCTTTCACAATGATACCTGAATCCGGGGGCATCTATCAGTCTATCTTACCGTTGATATCCTTTAATTAGGTACTTCCTTTTCTGTTGCATTTGATCCACTCTCTGACCCTCTAACCTGCTCAAAGCTCTATTTCGGTTCCATGCTCTTTGTGCTATACCGGGGCTCCACCAATCCAAGAGCTCACTCGGCTTTGGTTCTATACTGTACTGTGGCACGGAAACTCATCCAAGAAACAGCTCCGGCCGCAACTTCTCAATCAAACCAAATGCTACTATGGAGACACATGGGAGGCTCAATCACTAGCACCGCCTCAGGCCCCCGAGCACAAAAGAAGGGCACTTGACCTCGGCATTCAAGGGATTTGCAAAGGCACTGATGCGAGAGCTGGTGACCTTTCTCAAACAGTCGGACCTGATTGTTGCTTAAAAGCCTGTGAGCTATCCCAACTAATATCAGCCAATTAGATCCAATTAGGCAAATCACTTGCACTTTGTTTGCTCTGGTCAGTGGTTCAAGCTTCAACCACAATCTTTCAATCCAGGCTCCAGGGCTTGTGGTATCGTCGGCAGCCTCCTTGCTAGATCTTGCTTGTTGGGATGGTTCAATCAGAAAAAAACCTGTCAATTGATTAAGCAGACCTGAACATGTAAGTTTAGATAGTTTAGACAGAGTCTCCTACAGTGGGATCGGTAGGATGCGGACTCCTTCTGTTGGAACCAGGTCAACCGCGCGCGGCTCTTCCCGCGCTTGATCCGAAGACACGCGGAGGCTGGTCGATCCGGGTCCCCTACGCAAAACATCGCAACAACATTAACAGTGAAAAAAACAACAACCGCGCGGGCACTCCTTGACGATGCAATGCAACCTCAAGAGCAGTGCAAAGCAAGGACACCCATTGTTCATTGACGTCACTGTGGATGGTGACCTGCCACGGTGAATCTAACTTTAACTGCACTAGGCTAGAAATAGAACCTTCAAGGAATGGTCAAAACCTGACACCGCTGGTCAGCGCCGTTCCCGCACTTGGAATGCAAAATCACTACTATAATCCAGCTTTCTGCCTGCAAAGCGGGGCGCCAAACCAGCTAGCGCTTCTTGAGGTTCTGACAGGTCCGTCTGGTCTAATTTGATGTTCACCTTGGCCCAGCTGATGCAGAAGGGACTGGGCAACGGGGCCCTCTGAGACGTTCAAGACGTTCAACCTTTCATTGCACGTTTTCATCACCACATGCCTCAATCAACATCCGGGAAAAACTCATGGTCCTGCCACTGGTTCACACCTGCGAATGAAGCCAGGCCCCTGTCAGGATTGTGCCATGCCGGACTCAACCACCCAAATGTGTGTGCTCCGCCGCAGGATTGGTCGTGGTGATGGGCTTGCCAGGCAGAGACTGGGGACCAGGCCCAACCACTCTCTGGCCCATTTCCGGCCAGAAGCTTGTAGCGCAAACACCTACAATTGACACCGACACGGCTGTCACAAGGAGACCCCTGATCACCCAGTCACTTGTGGGGCTAAAGCCCTTCGACAAAAGGCAACAACGATGACACTATTTGCACTTGTGAGGTTCGATCTTTAACGTCAGACTAGTGCTACTGAATTGCAAACCCTCAACCAAATATCACAAAAGGCACTACTGCTCCAAACTACTGCTCCAAAGATCAACATAGGCAGAAGAACCACACATCTGCTCATGTAATTTGGTAACTTCTTTGCCCTTGCAGTGGTCATCTGGGCTTCACGTAGCAAAGGCCCTGAACAAGGGTGCAGCTCTAGAAGCCATGAATGTGGCCATGAGGCTCATCTACCAACTCCAACTCCTCCACGAAGGCATCTCTGGAGAGCTTTCCATCCTTAAATCACGTATGTGTGAAGAAGTGGAACTTATATAATATATATATATATAACTAAAATATGGCTATGTACACAATTACTTTGTTGCAACTTCCACATGCCTTCTGGATTCTTGAGGCCGGCAGTTGTTGCGAATCGGCATCTGTTTTAGGTACGACTCCTCACTCTGGCCATGGTTGTGCAAATCTGGCACGTTCTGGCACAATATGCCTTTCAACCAGTGTGTCACACATCAAGTGGTGAGCAATGACCGAACAGTGCGAATCACGTCAACGAAAACAACCAGCTGCAACTGCAAGCAAATCCATGATGATCTTGAGGGGTCAACAGTATATTTAGTCTGGTAGCTTCCCAGTCAAAGGACGTGCACTTCATGCTATTGACAATGCCCCCCTTCCCGTCCCTACCACAAGTAACATATCAATTGCAACTCCGAGAAGGAAATCCCTCTGGGTGCACCATGGGGATGAGCAGGAAGGCAAGTGGTTGGCCCGTGCCTTGCTCCAAACGTGGCATGTGTTCAATGTGGTAGCAAGAACGGGCCGAAAAAAACGGAACTTCAAACAGCCGGTCCCTGTACCAGCAGGTCACATGCACATCAGATCACATCAGTACCTGGAAACAGCAAGAAGTCGCAAAAATACATCCACCGGTCTTCAACACATCCACCTAAGAAGTGTGGGACGCGGGCTTCAAGGCGCCATCTCCCCGGTCTTCCCCAGCTCGGATGGAGCCGAGCATCCAATTCTTTGCTCTCCAGCTGTGGGCCTTCACGTGCCACGACACCACCTCATCGCTGCGCATCGTTTACGAGTGCTTTCTTCGATATGTTCGATTAGACTTGTGATGCTCAGAGGTCTGGCAGTGTCATTCTATGGCTGCAGGTTTTTAGCGGTAAATTTGTTTTGTTTTTTTTAGTGGGATGTTTTATTTTATGGGGGTTTGAGTCTTCTGATTCTGTTGCTTTAGACAGTTTCTTATTAGGTCTACTGTGTTTTTACGTGCTCTATTGGGTTTTCGAGCTAAGTGATCCCTCTACGTGCTGGTGGCCCATAGCATCCACCTTTGTTAAGTCGACTGTTCGCGGGAGGCCCAGGGTCAGATCGGAGCGTTTTGCTTCGATGTGCAGCAAAGCCTTTGAAGTGCAATTTCTATATTTATGTTACTCAAGTTTTAAAACATATTCTATTCAATATTATATGTTCCAAAGGCTCCAAAGTACTGAGATGGCAAAAGCACCTACAAAAACCCACAACGGTGGACGCTAAGGGCCACCTTCCTTCCTTCCTTCCTTCCAGAGCCCTTAAAAGAAAAAAAAATATCCCACGGAAATATGCTCTCCTCATTCTATCGTTCAAGCCGTATCACGCTTGGAGGACTGTGGACCTCGCAGCTGGACCCGCGAGAAAACACATTTCAACTGAACAGATGGGCACAGAAATTTCGATTGGCTCCAAATCCACGCAAGGTCGAGTAACAACCATCCGACCGCCCCTAAAATCATCCCCTTACAGTAACTGCAGGGGTGTTAGTGGCCCTCCATAAAGACCAAAGACCTCAAGTTGACAAGACCAGGAGTCGGCCGGGGATTTCGCGGATGCCTCCAGCAATGACCTGCCAAATGGGGCTCATGGCCGCCCGCTTTCAAAAGGCACCGATGGAAGCTGTGGTGATGTCGGAGTGGGCGAAACTCATCAATCTCCAGGGGCCAACAAGTGAGCTACGGCCCTGCGCGGCCGTTTCAACAGAAGGTCGGGTTGCTCAGGGTGGTTACTGTAGATGTGATTAGTTTGTCCATCTTTACGGTATTCATGACGCATGAATGTGGACAAATGTGGATGGGAAGATCCTGGCACCATGGGCATGACATACTGCATGGCTGCATGACATATACAGTAAGTCCTGGACATGGAATGTGGCACAGGCTTTCAACATCTTTCAACCATTCGCAAAGTATGAGGCTTCCGGCTCCAAGCCTAGGGCCTAGGAAAATTGGATCCAAGATCCTGTCGTCCTCTCATTTTTTCTCCGAGTCTCTCAGCAAAATAATTCGACACTTTTAAGTAGCCTCTCTGAGATGCAAGCATCACGGCCGTTGCTCAATCTGCCATCGCTAAATTCCTGTCAAAGGCGCGCCACTTCCAAGTGACCATTCTCAGCTGCAACCGTCAAGAGGGTTGCCCCTTCATTCACTATTTGCGGAAAGCTCCAGCCTTGACAAACATCCGGACAACTTCCGAATGTCCTTGTTCAGGCAGCAATCAATCCTCGTGCTGTGGCTTCGTCGTGATGGGTTGGACTCCACAAAAGCAGCACCACTTCCATGTGGCGATGCTGAACTGCAAGCCACAAAACTGCTTCCCGCTTCCCCATCTTCCTTTGAAGCCTTGTCAGGCCGTGCGTTCAGCAAGAATCGCACCACATACAAGCAGCCAAGCTGCAGCCCGCAGCTACTGTTGTCACATCTTCCTTTATGCCTCGAGCAACAGCCGCAAAATGTCCACGTGGCCATGCTGAGCTGCAACATGGAGACGAGTTGACAAGCAACAACTGTAATACACCTCTGAGTGGTCATACTGAGCCGCGACCATCAAGGGGGCTGCACCTGCCGCATTGGGGCTCAGCTCCAGCCTTGAGAAACATCCGAACCATCAGCAAACAAAGCTGCTGCTATATCTTGCTTGCGTCAGCCTCGAGCAACAACTGCACCGCAGTGGCCATTGAAAGCTGCAACCCACAGAGTCGAGTCATTTTTCCTTGTCACGTGTTTGTTTACTCCACCTTTGAGGAACAAACGCAGCACTTCTAAGTGGCCATTCAGTGCTGCAAAAAATCAAGGCGGTTGCCCCATCTTCCCTTGCTGCTTTCTCGTCAGCTCCGGCCTCGAGCAACAACCACAGCACTTCAAAGTTACTGTACCCTGGCCAGACTGAGCCGCAGCAAAGGCGGTTGCCCCATCTGCCGTTGCCGAATATCTGTCAGCTCCAGCTTCAAGCAACAACTGCACCACCTCCAAGTGGCTCTGCCCTGCCGCAAGATACGGAGGTGATACAATGTGATAATTATATTTGTAATTATCAATTCACTCTCTACACCTCCCTCATTATCCAGGCGGTTTCTGAAGCAAACTTGTCACTTCGCCTTTTCGACTGTTCTCACATGCAAGGTGTAGTTCCTCTCAAACGCACTAGGCGTCCAGGAATACCAATTGCATGGTAGCTGTCATATCGGCATTTCATCCTGTAACTCGCCCAGTCCATCACTCAAGAGTCTTTGTCGAACTCTTGAGTACCCAACGGGCCAATAGTCTTCAAAACCCAAACGGGCTTTTCAACCTCCACCATGCACCCCAACTCCTCCTCATGAAGCTGGGTGACAGTGACACCTGAGAGTGTATGAAAACTGGCTTCAAATTAAGCATCTCAGTGCACTCCACCGAAGATGCGTGAAACATGTAAGAGCCAAAACAGCTTGAGCCAGTGTCGTCCTCTCTCTCCCTCTCTCTCTCTCTCTTTCCCTCTGTGTGTGCATGCGCATGCTAAAGCACGCATTTTGCCAAGCACGGTGGCAGTCGAAGGCTGCGCCAGCCTGAAGAAGCACAGAAGCGGTTGGATATGCAGCAGAACCTGCTTCAGCCGTCATTTCCCAGCGAAGTTTGGGAGAGAAGGCATCTATAGCTTCTTCCAGAAAATCAACTCAAAAGCAAGATTATGGTTGCTGACCCCGTCCCCACCCCCATCTGGACTCCGGCCCCTGACTTGAGTGCAGTAATCAACCCCATGGCCCTCCATCACCGGCGAGCCACTCGTAGATGCAAATGGCCGCGGCATGCGCCACATTGAGCGAAGCTCCCCGCACCTGGAGGCATGGGACAAACTTGGTCCATCCCCGCTGGGCACATTGGACAATGATGGAAAATGGTTTGGAACGTGGACCAATGCAACATGAACATGGCAAAGTAGAATCGGACCAAAGGAGCCTCGTTGTAGCCTCGTATGTTACGGTGGTGTGTGTTCTGTCTTGGACCCGTCATGCTCCATGAGATCCTGGGAACTATGTCCGTGGACTGTTCCTCACTAACGGCAGCTATCGGAAGAAAGGGCGCCTGCACAAGCTGTGCGCCAAGTGCAGTTCGACGGGAAAACCATCCAATCAAATGTGCGATTCAGGTAGCATATACAGTGTGTATATATATATACTGTATATACCTAATATGTACACCTGGAACCCACTTGACCCCTGTTTTGATAGAAAACTAATATGTTCGGTGGTTGGTAGTCCAAAATGGACGTCACTCAGGTTCTAGCTATATTATATATATATATATATACAAGTGTGTGTGTGTCCGCCCCTTCTTGATTATTCCTATGGTCCAACTGAGTGCCAAGGCACCAGTGTCATCCCGACCGCCACTCTGGAGTGGACACCCCAAACGAGATCACCGGAGTGGGTCCCAGCGGTGCAGCGGTGCCTGGGGCACTCGGAGGAAGTCGTTGCAGCAGCGTAGGACTTCTTCAGAGACACCTGCGGAATGCGCGGAATGGCTCCATCGAAAGCCGCAGGATGGAGGGATCCTGCTAATCGAAGGATGGAGGGATCTGCATTGTGGAGTCAAAGGAGTGAGGTTGTGCTTTCCATTTTGTAGCTATGACATGCACAGTGGGCCCCAAGGATCCCCAAGGCGTCTACAACATCTCATTCCTGCCAAAACTCGGAACAGTGGGCCAGGGCGGCGTCCCTCACTACAAAACGGCACACTTCCACAGGGGTAGGAAGGGATCTGACTAAGAAATCTAAGAAATGACTTACAAGCGCACCGAAAAAGTACCAACATGCATGCATTGCAACTTTTTGCCCAGGACAAATCTCAAAAGGATTCAAAGGGCATAACAAACATCTCAGGCCCATTCTGCCTAAAAACACCTTATAACCGGAATACCCAGAACAGCCTCCACAGTCACATCTTTGTAGATCAGCATGCTGTTGGTACCTATCGGTTTACCCCAATTTACCCCCCTACCACATGCAAACCCCAACTCACCCAGAAAAGATTGATATAACAGCATGGTCTAGCGCAGGGATCGAGCTGTCCCATTCTGTAGAGTCAATGAAAGCGGATCGCGATGTGTAAAGCAAATGCTTCTGAGATGTTCCGAGAAGTTGTCCTTCCCATCTTTCCTTTGGGAGAGCAGGGGATCGACTTGGCCACGCCCAAACCTGACCAGTTAGGACCCGCCATGACCCGCTGACCCTCGAGTTTCTTTGTTTGCACCGTGTTGGAACTTTGAGACAGATGCATCTGTCGGGATGGCTGCACACAAACGGTCTTGAGGATAAGCCATCTACCCCCAAAAAGCCCGCCCGCACACGGAGAACGTACGCCTCGCTCCTCATTGCCTACCACCAGTGCCCAGCCTCAGAAATCCGTTGGCCCTTATCCGTTGGCTGTCAAATTTATTGAACAATGGTTTCAACGACTGCTCCTTGTAAGAATCCCAGGCATTTTGATCCGGAGCCTATAGGTGTTATGAATTCAAGTTATGGAATTCCGCCAGGGGCTCAGCCCAACTCCGCAGAATGTATTGCGCTTGTCGTCAGTTCTTGGCACCCACACCCACTGCCCGGGCCACCGGAAAGCCATCCATTCATCGCGTAGCTGCTTCTAAGGCCCATGCGTGGGTCAGGATGTGGTGATACCATTCTTGGATGTGATTCCTGCAACGGTTTCAGTGATCTTTCGGCGATAGTGAAGTGCAGGAAAAAAGAAATGGCAGCAGGAGCAGTAGCAGTAGCAGTGGTAGAAGCAAGCGGAGCAGTACACAGCAGTAAGTCGTGGTCGTGCCAGTGGCAGTCGTGGCGGCTGTTGTTCTTAGTAATTATAAGTATAATATATAGAATGCAGTCATTGTCGTGGTAAAGGTAGTGGCAGTGGTAGTAGTGGTGGTGGTAGTAGTGATAGTGGTAGTGGTAGTGGTAGTGGTAGGGGTAGGGGTAGGGGTAGTGGTAGTGGTAGTGGTAGTGGTAGTGGTGGTAGTAGTAGTAGTAGTGGTGGTAGTAGTAGTAGTAGACACCACAGTAGGAGTTTTCCTCGCAATGCAAGCGGCAAATCCATTCGGCATTTCTGGGGCCACGTGTGTTTCATCGTTCATCATTCTACTTGTCCCAACTGTAGTTGGCTGGTGGCCCTGCAGGCGCCTCCGCAGCATACACACCTCAGTGCCACTATGCGCCCCTCATTCCTAAGATTTCCTAAGTGTTAAATGATGTTAAATGGAATGGTAAATGCATCATCCATGTTCAAAATGCTTTTTACAATTATTTGCACCGTCAATTTTTGCGTCAACTTGGCATCTCAAAATCACGGAGCCGTGGGTCCATCCCCAAAAGCTCCCCTTGAATCATGCGTGCCAGGCAGGCATCTGGTGCTTATATGTGTTTATAGGGCTCAGAAACTGAGCACCAACCAAACTGACTGGCAGAACGAACACACGTGGGAACACCCATCGATTCTATTGGGGGCGTCTCTGCTCTTGTGACTTGTCGATCGCTCTTTACGCGCTCTTTTCGCGGGAGCTTGCAACCAAGTGAAGCTGCTGTCATCATCGAAGTGCTTGAAACGAGTCTCCCGCTCCAGATGGACAAAAGCAGGGTCTCGGCCCACAAACGCAGGAGCCGCGTTCCAGTAACGAGGCTCACGGCTTTTCCGTCGGCTGCGCTGATCCGCCAAGTGTTTGAGGTGCTTGTGCAAGAGAAAGTAAGGGCTGCAGCTTTGGTCAGTTGAATACCTGGGAGCCAACAACTGTATGGAAGAGAGGAGGTTCAGGAGATTGCCATCACAAGCTTACATTCTCAGTTGAACATGTTGAACACATCTAATGCCATGGGAAACTACAAAAGTCTTCTTGAGCGAATGTCATGAATGCCAGTTGAAGTAGCAGCTGTGTATTTCAAGCTCCCGCTTCATCTCCCAGAGCTGCTGCGGATGCTCTTGCGCAAAGTCGCGCAGGTAGTTGTAAAGGGTGGAGCTTGTGCAGTCTGCATCATCACAAACTTGGCTCTCCTTGCTACACTGAAACATTAGAGTTACAGGGCATCCTAACCACACTATATAATGACAAATCAAGACTTCGCACCAAATCAACTTCAGAAAATACTGCTTGCGAAAGATCAGTCACTGGCCACTTGATGGAGAACTTATGCCATGGCAAGTCATCGGCAAAGGCCACCTCGTATTCGTCACTCAGGATCACCGGAATGCAGCCAGCATAAAAGCTCTCGTAGAGGTGGTTGGTCCATGGACTTGTCCCTGACCAGCCACATCAGCAGCAATCTAATTACTCATTCCGTCAGGTGCCAAACTGGTCGGAAGGTTTGGAACATGATGCTGATATGAAGGGCCTGTTGCAAAAAGTTCCAAAAAAGCATATCTTTGGATGCAGTTGGCAACTAGTTTTCAGCAAGATCATTCCATTTCTAGTCACAAGCTTACAGCTCATACTTCCACTGCTGTCCCAGGACCTTCATAGGAGTGGGCCAAACACTAAACGTAATGATCAAGTTGATGTGTCTGCCGTATGCCGTATGCCAAACAGTTTCATCGTGATCATCCCGCAGGCTTTCTAGAACTCATGGCAGCGTTTGGCAAATCAAATATCCGTCTGCGAGGCTGACTTTGCCTGTGCAATCCAAGTGCATTTCTAGTTCGGCCCAGGTCGTTGGGTCTCTTTGGCCCAGATGTACAGTGATTTTCAGATGCCGACGGGTTGGGTGGTCTGGTCTACGACACACCGGACCAAAACAGTGGCTGAAAACCCGAAGCAACGGTTGGCGCTACCCAAGTCTTCGTGGGTTTAGGAGGTCACCTGGTTTCGCCTGGTGCAAAGAGTCGTGCGTCTGGTGCTTGTCGCATCCACTTGGACGTTGTGCCAAATGTGCCTCCGTTGCCTTCCAGAGGTTGCAGGTTCCTATCCGGGGTTACCAAACCCTTGAAGGGTCTCCTACGGTCACACTGACCCGCATTGGATGTTCATGATGTTCACATCCAAGCTCCAAGGGAGCAGAACATGAATATAGAGTAATCATATAAACTATATACTCATTTGCCAATCAAATTATGCATCCCCATCAATTCCCTCATGTTGGATCACGCAAGCCTGCTGGAACCAAGCAGAAGTGGCTGTCACCTTTGCGCTCCGGGTAGTCCCCTACAAAGCCACCAATGTCAACCTAAGGGGGCGTGCCGTGTCGCCGAATTTGCCCAGGTTCGAGGGCTATGGCGTGGGCTCTTTGAAGTAGGCTATAACTCAAAAATGCTTCACTCACAAGATGCCATATCGCCACGTCGCTTCCATGGTGCTTGTCCTCTAACCTCCACGAACTAGCATAGCATCATTGTAAGCCTAGCCTAATGATCGGTCTTACTACTCCGGCCCAGTGACTCCCTCATCCAAACCTCGCGCTCGGCCCAGTTGCATCAAAGCCCCACGCGCCGCGCAGTGGCTATAAGCACCATGCAGCTCTGGTGCTCTGCCATGGAAGGTCATGAGCAGGCGTCGTTCCGCTGAGCGCTTGTTGTGGCTCTTCATGTACTGGATGCGCGCATAGTCCTGAGTGCCGTCGGAGACACAAAAACACATGTTTGAAGACAAATTAGATGTCTTTCAAGTCACACCTTACTGCCTTGTCAGGAGTATATGGTAATTATTGTGTGAGTGGCTTTCAGTCTTTAGGGCGCCCAGCTACAAGCAAATGTTGGTTCCCAAACTTGGGTGGATGCAGAAATCTCAGTTGTAGTTGGTGTTTGGCGTCCTTGTTGCGGTTGACGCTTTACATACGTTCGAGGCACGGTGTGCCCCGGGATCACCAAGTCCTTCCAACTGGAAAGGCATCGCTTCACGTCCACGTAGCGGCGCAAAGGCTCGTTCCAAGTGGGACAGCGGCTCTCCGGTGAGAGAAACACTGATTCGCTTCGAAGCAGGTCGTAACCTGGGATTTCGAGGACGAGGCAAACCGTTTAAACCCGCACATCTCCCCTGGTTTCTCGTCCCAGTGGGCGCCAGCCCAAATCCTTGGACCAAGTGGCTGTCCCAAATCCTTGGGCCTTGCCCGTCCGCAAACAGGAAGATGTGATCTGCACCCTCATAACGATGGAAGTAGCGGGAGGCCTTCAAGAAATCCATCATGGGGTCCCAAATGAAGTGGTTTGAGACGTTGTCCATGTTAAAGACCAACTCTTCGCTCACATTCTCGTTGAGCTTCACATAGACGCAAGTCGCATGAAGTGGGACATAGAACCAATCCGCCTCCTGGGGATCTGGCGTGTTGCAATTGTGCCGGAAATATTCATGGAGGAGCACTTCCGTACCCCATTGACCTTGCAAACACTCAAAGGTTCCACCATACAGTTGCTCCGGCAGCTCATAAACAAAGAAGCGCTGACCCAAGCAAATGTCTTTGCCATCCTGGGTGGCACATGCTTCATCATGCTTCGACCAGCAAAACATCCAATGCTTTCCAAAAACTAAAGAGCAAGTCTGCTCAAAATGAATTGTGGCCCAAAAGCAAGAACTGTGCACTGCCAAAAGCTACCGTATAAAAAAGGACATGTTGATTCATCCACTCTGACAGAGACCAGAATGACCACCCAAAGCCCTCAACACCTGAAGGTTCCCAACGGACCCCTTCGACATTCCAACTAATAGTCATTAGATGTCAGTAGACTACAGTACGTAGTAATTAAGAGTCTGATGGGACGCACCAAGCCCCGTTTCAAGGGGGGACGGTTGCACCGCAGCCACCGGACGGACCTCCCCCAATGCCACCGGACCATTCCCGGCCACGTCTCTGGACCAAGGCTTTGAAGGTCCAGGAACTTGGGATAAACGTAGGCCTGGGGAGTCACCGTCAGGCTGTTCATGGACCAGGGTGGACCGGTGCGACATGGTGTTACACAGGCCTATGGGGAGTGGTTCCTGTTGGAGGTGAGAAAGGGTGAGAAAGGGCTGGTCCGAGGATCTGAACTGCTGGTGCTTTTCAGCTGAGAGGTGTCTCAACATGTCTCTGTTCTGCGCTTCCTTGGAGTAAACGGACTGAACGGGACGATTTTGAGATGGTGCATCAAAATCTTGAAAATCAGTTCAAATAGTTGCGTTTTCAGCTTCGCGCTGTGGGGACTGAGCCTGGAGCAGGTTACGAAGGTAGGTAGTAGGTGTAAACTTGTTTCCCAGGGGTCATGATGGCACTCAACGAAACATGCTAAAACAACATCCAGTGGCGATGTCAGCGTTCCACTCCAGCATCAGCTGATGGAGCTGTTTTTTCCTCTGATCATCTGGAAGCTTCTCAAGAAGCCTCAGCTTGGCGGTAAATTGGTCATCTGCAGGACACATCACAGGCACACTCCCTCGGTTTTTTTGGCGAACCCCTTCCCGGTCATCAGTTGGCAGCTGGGGAATTTTTGCCTGCCCTCACATGTTTCATGCTTGCCCCATCAGTTTCACAACATTGTCTTTTCCACAGCATGCCACAACACTGTCATCGAAACTGTGTGACTAAATTGAGGCTGGGGGTGAGGAGAGCGGGGCATCAGGGCAACCATGATCGGTGTTGGTCCAAAAATCAAAAGTGTCGTCGCTGCCCCGACGTTACATGGTCATGAACATCGGTGTCAAAAGTTACGACGTGCGACTGTTTGGGGGGGAATCGCTACTTGATTTTACTGTCAATCTGACTGGAGGGAACGTCCACTTTGTTCCCCCAACGGCACTGCGATCCACAAGCACAACACATGCAACCGGGTTTTCCGAATCAGTCAAACACAAAAGCAATGTTTAACTTGTTAACTCCCAAAAAAAAAACAAACGAACCCCTTATACTATTACTAATAAAAATACCAACATCTATGGTGCGGGGACGCAGTTTCAGGGGGAGATGTCTCCGGATTTCTCTCCATCGGCTCAAACAGACTGTGTGGCTCAGTCACTCATCCCTGAGCCGGTGGATTTGCAGCAGGAAGTCTCGAGCTGCGGTTCGGCCCTGTTCGGTCTCCACAGCCAGCAAACCTCATCAATTGCAAACAGGGGCAACAGGTCAACGCGTGGCCTTTCAAAAGGAGTTGTCTTTATATGTTTTTACTTGTCTTTCTACGAAACCATGGTGGCAGCCCTTGAAGGAGCTATGATCACTATATGTTTTCTGCACGATACTATTCATGGTTTTTGTTTGTATGATAGTGAGGCAATTTGTTTGCACATATGACTCATATGACATTATATAAATATTAATTGAACTCATGATTCATAACCACAGTATAGTAATTGCAATTCGTGCAGGTGTTGTCCATAATTGAACACCTGATACAAGAAAATGATTTACTACAAAATCGTTTCCTGACAATACAGGTGTCCGATGCGTCTCTGTCTGCAATCACACTCGCTGCAGTCCCATGATGTCTGATGTCTGAGTCAGTCATGGCGCAGTTCATCATGATCTCCAACACCGCGGCCGGGCAATGGTTCAAGGCCTCCTCCAGCTGCGGTTCAATCTGTGCATGGAAAATCTCCTGCAGAAAGTGCCTGTGGCTGAGAAGCCGGAGCTCGACGACGTCTCTCGACGTCAATGTCTTCGTAACGACAGGGGCAAGAACACAGGGCCTGGGCCACATCAGCCAGCCACATGCTCTAGGGATCTCTAGGGGCCATAGGGGTTTGGTTTTGCTAGGTGTTGTTTGATTGTTTTCTGATGTTAATGTTCCTTTTGTTTGCGTGGGTTTCTGATGGCCTCTGTTCAACCACCAATCAACCAAGTCTACGAATGGCACAATGTAACCTATGAACGCAAGTCCTTAAAACAGAAACACCTCGGGATGTTCCGATCGTTGCCTTCAGGTGGATGATGATGGCGAAAGGGCGAGACATTTGCCAACGAACGAGGTTGGCCCTCGGGCCGCCTGGTTTTACTTGACCACCCAAGACACCCCTCTCGAACATTGGACCCACTGGAGTCACAGAATACGACGATGTTCCTGGCACTCTATACACCTGGTAACGACCATCTACTAAGCAGGCTAAGCTTGCACTCCCAGGGGTGGAGATTCCAGGTTGCACATCTTTGACGTGGACGGTCAGAGCAGTAGAAGGTCCCCAAACGCCCAAGAAGTCCCAAGGCCTGGAGAGCTGCAAGTTGTCTCGGCCATATCTCTTCTGCCAGGTGCCCAGCGTGCTGAAGTACTCCGGTGCCAGCTCGGCCAGCTGCACGTCGCAGAACACCGGCGAGGGCGCATCAGGATCATATTTCCTGATGCATAGGGTCGGTGAAGATAAAGTTTCAGAATGGTTTTAAGGAAAGGGTTTGATCCCTGACACCCTCAAGCCCAATTGCTGGCCAACAGCAACGGCTTTGCTATGTTCAACGGTTTCAAGTGGACATGTCAGTTGGCACAAGTTTGAGGATTGCAGATTGAAGCTATTCGCAAGATTTGCCGACATTGCACAAGGCGGTTGTCAGTGGAGTGGAAAGGCAGCTTTTGGTTTTTGGCGCAAAAAATTGATGTTTAAACTTTGGAGGTTTTAGTGATAAGTGATACCAATGGTAGACTCAACTTGCCTAGAAGGGAGCGTCCGCCGCTGCCAGAGTGGATCAATGTCTTGATCTGGTTTGTGCTGACGCTCAACTCACTGAAAACAGCTAATTGCAATTTTTTGGAATACAATATACATCAATATACGACATCACTTTGTCGGCTCTTCTGCCTTCATAGATGGTGTCAGCACAATCCTCACAAGGGTGTCGTGTCGCATTTGTGTGAATTATGTGCTTTATGTTATTGTCATGAAATTACAATGATTGACACATTACATGTATTGAATCGCTGGCAGCTGTTCCCGCAAAAGGATGCAAAAGGCACAACAAGGGCTAGATGCTGATTGTAAGTCGCACCTTCGCATAAATGACAACCTACTTCGCTGTCGGCGTGGGCACACTGGTCGCCCAAAAGGTCCAATGTCTCCAATGATGACCTGATTTCATCAGCCTGCTTCCCATGGTGTCTACACGTGCCGAGCATCGTTGATGGACACAGCTCGTGGGTGCAGTCCGGGAGAAACAAGGCCCCAGTAGGAGAGGCCAGGGGAAAAAGCCAGAGTGCCATGGCGAAGGTGTTGGGCAGTGCATGGCCATGTCCCAGTTACAAGCGCAGGTCTGGGATGTCGTGGGGAAGTGAACACTACATTCTTCAACGTTCCTGCAAACATCTTTCAACAATCCAAGCGCTGATGTAATTTCCGCAAGGTTGCTCGTTGGACAGTGAGAAGTCTAATGGATCAGCTGGTGTTGATGCTGGTATATGCTGGCATTCAATGTGTCAGCTTCAAGAGGGAAAGGTATGCCGTCTAAAGTATAGACTGCATCTTTGGCGCACTGTGCAGCTCTTGATTTCCGCATCCCGCCTGTGGCTGCACCGAGGTAACAAGCGGCTCACTTGACTTGAGCTGATTAACAACATTTAACTGCCCAATTAATTAAGTAGGTGCCCAAACCATGTTTTATTAAAGCACTCATGTCCATCAAAGTGTAAGTGTAAACGCTGAGGTCGGGGCAAATCCCAAGGGTTTGCAGCTCTTTGAGTGATGTCGGCAGGTCTTCCGCCAAGAAATACTCCGCATAGTAGAGCCTTCAGGGTCCCGTCTTGATGATGTCAACTGCCGATCCTAGCAGCGACTACAGCTATCAGCGACTACAGCGATGGGTCCAATGTGGGTTGACAGGGCTTGGTTCCAGGCCAGCCCTGCGATGCATGGCACGCTCGGCCATTCAAACCTGAAGCTTGAGAGTTGGGCCAACTGCGGGGCAATATTGATGGGTCAAGATTGTTCTTTAGATTTCTTTAGTGCCATCTCGAAAAATTTTAGAGTTCAAGATTTGAACAATCAGCGTTAATGAGTGCAACTACAGTTTCATAGTTTAAAAAAAGGTAAACATCCGGATATCACGCAGCACATTTATGATCATTTATATAAATTCCGCTCATCATGCTATCAGTTGAACAAAACAAAACCGAGCCGCGGGCAGTTGAAGGTGGGGCGTGACAAAATGATGGACTTGATGCCCAAAAGTACGGCACTCCTGCAACTGACCACCGTTCGGTGCTGGTGATGTTTGCAATTTCAACGCGATGATGTTAGATCGCACACATACTACTGCAGCCTCGAAGGAAGGAACCCCCTCCATTCTGCCACAAACCACCCACTCCGCAAGGTATAGACAAGGTGCAACAATTCTCTGGCGACGGGTGATATTTCAACTGGACTGATGAATTGTTTGATACCCACTTTGACCACTCCATTACACGCTGTAAGGGTCCTGACAACCTGGCCAAGATTCTGCGCAGACCTCATCCCAACCCCCTCTTGTGAAGGAGCTGGTCGGGTATCAAATATCATGAACTGGTACTGAGAGTGCTTGTAGAAATGCAACGGATTTATGTTACAACATTATGAAGATTGACTTGGTTCCGGACCCTTCTAGGGCGCCGACACCAGCCCATCAAGCACCAAGAAGGGTGGGGGGCATCATGTATAATTCCGAAGACCTGGAAGACGTAAAATGAATACAGCGTTCGCATCCCGCCATTGCAAACTGACTGTGCTGGGCGCAACTCAAAATTGGCCTGGGCCATGTAACTGCATAGCGCACTGGCTCGCCCCAAGCGAGGTCCTACATACACACCACTGCTCAGAATGTTCAATGGACATTGGTCCAAAATCGGGATAGTACCCGGTCCAGGGCCTTGTGACGCACGTGTTACGGTACGTTTTGCACTCTTAGTTTTTGCCTTTATTGTATCAATGTAGTGACATGTCCCATTGCCATGTTCGCCCGGTCCATGCAGAACTCGTCCACCAGGTTTGGCGCCAACAAGAAAAGGTCTCCACTGCACGTCTCACACACCTGAAACCGTGCACCAGATCAAAACATCCGCGCAGAAAATCCAAACAAACGCGGCCGCCTTTTGCGCCAGCATCATTAGTTCTGCTGAAGCGCCTACCAAAAAATAACAGTTCCATGCACATGCTGCAACCCACTTGTTGGGATTTAAAAGAAAAACCGGTAGCCACCTGCGGGCATTCTTGTTTTCAAGTTGCGTGACCAACGACCGCCCCATTCAGCCTTGCATGATTACTATGGACACGACCGCGGTAGATGCCGAACCTGCGGAAACCAAACGTGACAAGTTGCAAGTTGCCACAGTTCGCAACATGACGAACGCGGACCAACGCGTGACTTCACGACACCCCCACACCTTGGGCCTTCAAACGTTCCAAACAATCTTTGCCGTAATGCCTCTGGACCCAAACAAAATCTCACACGCATCACTCCATCACAAACAAAATGTGGAAAATTTTGCGACCAGGACCACCAGTGGAAAAACAGGAGCGCGGCAATAGTCGACAGAACCCGAGAGCAGGGCACGGCCACAATGGACTGCAAGCGCCGCAGCTGTTCACGTCTGTCTGCTTTGGCCTTTGCTCTATGCAAATGAAACAACGGTGGGCCATGACTGTGTGCCAAAAAAGGGCCATAGTCCAAAGCCCATGGTTCCTTCCAGGACTTCTCTAAATTCCGACATGGGCCCCGGGTATGCCATTCATTATTATGGCAAGGCGGAAGGCCCAACAAAACGCCGAATTCCGGAATTGTTTGTCTCCATGACTCTTGCCAGGGTTCCGGACGAGTTTTCGGATCTGTTCCCCGTATTGGCCTCCCATGGTGTGTCACAATATGTCACAATCATTGTCACACTCTTGCTATTCTACACGAGGTTTTTGCCCAAACATGTGTTGCTGCTAAGTACCCTTTGTGTTCCTGCTTTGCACACCAACAACCATTGCATTCCTGCTTGCAAGCCAGCTGCGTTGATTTCGGTGCTCTTTGACTCGGTACAAGACCTCGGCTGTAGTTGGTTTTCGCTGATATTTCCTTCAGCAACTGAAATTGAAGACTGGCACCTTCGCCTGCCGTGGTGGCACGTGCGCAAGTTAAAACTGAAGTTGTGATAGCGACGATGGGTTGATCATCTGCTGTCAGCCCTGCCGTCGGGTTGATGCGCGTGTACGCTGCACGGTTAAATGCCGTCGCAAACAACGCGCGCGACGACGCCAATCAGAATAACGACCCCCGGGAACATTGCCAAGCCAAACGTGTTTTCTCGTGTGGCGGGCCGGTGCGAAGCTTTAATTACTTCGAGCGACCCCCACCATGACATTCCCCCATGTTGCTCCAGGCTGTTGCACCGATTCGGTGGCTGAAAACGGCCAAGCGTAGCATAAAGATCCGCTGTCATGACCACAACCAAGCGCATCCAAGGCTAGCACTAACAGCAAAAAACAGGGAGGGTTGGGAAGGATTCAACCTGAAACATAACAAGTTCACCAAAGAGCCTTAGCAAAACACAGGGCACTGGATGTTTGTCAGCAACTATTCATGCCTCATCCACGTGCCACGTGTTCCGCACTTCCCACGCTCTCACAACGGCATCTTGCAACCGTCTCAGCGCAGCTGTGCCAAAAAGGTAGGATCACCAATGCATTGCACTGGTTCTGTCCGAGCTTTGAACCGCCAGCCGGCACTCCGGTAAAGAATGCTCGAACACATCCACCACTTTTTGGTTATGCCTCACGCAGAGCTCACAACAATTACCCGCCGTTGGTGGAAGGATGCGGAAGGCAAGCCAGTCTGTCACCAATACGAAGACCCTGGCATAGCTGCAAGCAACCCACTGAAGATCAAAGCTGCCTTGCCTCTGCTTGAAAGTCGGTTCGGAGGCGTGTTGACTTCACCAAGCGACCACCTAAAGCCCGGCAACGGCAACGGGTAGTGCAACAAAGTCCCATCCCTAGCCACCAGGACAAACAAGTCTTGTTTGGCCACGTTCGTCTGCTCTTGCGCATGTTTACATGGCAGATTTTTTTTCAGCACGGAGGGACGCAACAGGGCGCTAACTCTAACACTGAGATGTTCTGAGCGTCTTCCCCTGCCAAACTGCACCAGTTTCCAGCGACATCGGAAGTTTCAATACGAGAGTCTTCATCAACGAGTGACCAAGGCGCCCATCCTAACTCCAGCAGTATAGATGGAATCGGCGAAATGGCCTGGTATCCCAGAGAATGTTTCCCGTTTTTCGTTGGATTCGGTCACGTTCAAGCAGCTGTGCCTTTCCCAAACGCCCCAATTGCGCAATGCGAGGCAGCGGCAATTTCTGGGACTCCGCGGGTGAACACTGCAGTCCTTTCAACTACTCGTTGGCGAACATCCTGCCCAAGTACCTGTACAACCATCAATGTAAAACTTCGCTGGTGTTTCATTTGAGGAGGCACAAGGGGCTAGCAGTGCAGATTTTTCGATACCCACATTGAGTTTCATGCGAACGCTAGTTCCCCAACACATCGGTGGTTGCAGCGCGCTCCTCACTGTGCTTAATGCACATTGCCAGGTCATCCACATAACCGTTTTACCATGTGAAGTTTGTTTCAATTTATGCTCTTTAGATATATCTACGTCTCTCCCTGCACCACTTTGTTTGGCAGGGTGTTGTTATTGGCCTTGTACATTCCAGGCAAGTTGCCCCTCAGATTTTCTAGGTTATACTGAACAAGATCTTTAATGACCTACAAGAAAGAAACCACCATACTATAAAATGGCAAGGTTTGACCCTTGACCTTCCCAGGGTCCATAAAACTGTTGCCAGAAGCTGCCCCAAACACTTGCCACGTCTCTTGGACCCTTGTGGATCATTTGGGTGTATCCCCGGCAAGCATACAAGCACGAGGAATGATCTAAACCTATGAAAACAGTATACGCAAGCCGCAGCATCAGTGTCAACAACCACCATACGATAAAATTGCAAAGCATAACCATCCAAACCCCTTGGGTAATTTGGTTTTATTTTAGGAAAACCTCCATCCACGACTTCTGTTTGCAGGCGTTTGTTATTGATCTTCCTAGGTTATACCCTGGTACGCCTAAAACTGGCCCAAAATGCAAAAACCACCACCATACTGTAAAACGGTTGTGCCCCAAAGACTTGCCAAGCCTTTAGGACCCTTCTGGATCATTTGGGTAGCTTCCAGGCAGGCCTAGCAGGCAACAAAC